TTTTTTTTTTGTTGGTTTTTTTTTTGGCGGAACCGAGGATTAAACTCAGGCCCTTGCGTTTGTCAGGCAAACGCTTATTCTACTGAGCTATCTCCCCAGCCCATGGTGCTTATTTCATGTAAACCAGGATGGCATAATCAGGATAAAGATAGATAGATAGATAGATAGATAGATAGATAGATAGATAGATAGATGGATGGATGGATGGATGGATGGATGGATGGATGGATGGATGGATGGATGGATAGATAGACAGACAGACAGACAGACAGACAGACAGACAGACAGACAGACAGAGATACACACACACACACACACACACACACACACATAATTTTTACTTTAACTCAGATGAATTATATAAAGAAACTGGATAATTAATCAAACTGACCTGAATCAATCAATCCCCATTTTCCAGTTTTACATGAATCTAGCTGTACAAATGAAATACCAACATCCTGGATTAACAAATACAAGTCCTTTTCCCAAAGCCTATGGAGCTTCCATCATGTAGCATATAAAAATTAAATAAGAAATGGCCAAAAAAAAAGGGGGGGCCGCCCAGACAGCTCAGCAGATTAAAGCGCCTACTTAGGCAAACACAGGGGCCAGGGGCTCAATCCCTGGCCTGCCCCCAGGACACACAGAGACTGCCTGAGACTGGGCGGGTGGTGCACATCTGTAATCCCAGCGCCTGGGAGGCTGAAAAACACGAAAGATCACTACAAATCCAATGTATATAACATAGTGAGACCTTATAGACCCTGCAGACCCTATACTAAATACATTTTTTAAAAAAGAAACAAATGGTCAAAACACTTGAAGTTAGCCAGGTGTGGTGGTTCATGCCTCTATTCCCAGCACTAGGGAAGCCAAGGCATGAGGACTGCTGGGAGTGCAAGGCCAGCCTGCACTACACTGTGAGACTTTGTCTCAAATAATAAAGTCTTGAAGTCCTCAAACATTCTGCTTCATCATATCTGTAAAATGATAATACAATTTCCTCTGCCCACTTCAGACGGTTACTGTTTACCTCTCATAAAATCATCCTTAAAAAACTATACAATGCTGTTGAAAATGTAACAGATATAGCACAAAGATATGGTTAAAAATGGGTTAGGAACTGCAAAGGCCATGCTGAAAATCCACCTTGACCTTTTCTTTCAAGACAAGGTTTTGCTGTGTTATCCAGGCTGGACTTCATCATACTATCCCCTGCCTTGGCCTCCCAAGTGCTGCAGTCACAGGTTTGCACACTTGGTCCAGTTCAACTACTTCCTAGCCATTCCACCTTAACACATTACTTTCTCTAGATCTCAGTTTCCTAAGATCTAGTTTCCTCTAAATCTAGCTTCCTAAGCTCTAACTATACATGTGCACATGTATGTTTGTATGTTTATTTAAAATTATCTATTATGCCTAAGATGTTTGAAATGCAGTGAGATAGTGAGGTTAAG